AAAATAAAATATAGACTGAGCATCTCATTCATAAATAGCTGGAAGATGCGGTCAGACAATGTCTTGTTATTGTTGTGTTATTGTTTTAGACTCTAACGAGTGCGACACGAGCGATAGATAGGTTGTCTCCGTCGTAACGGTCATTCAAATGACGAATCTGACGAGGAATGCAACACTGTCTTTCGTTCCTCAGTACACCTGAACTCTCCGTACTATAGCCGGGTAATTTTTTTATTTTAATGAAGCTATAATTCAATTAAAAATATGTCGTATTTAACTTTTTTTTAATTTTTTACGGTTTAACGGTTTTTTAAATAAAAGTTTAGAAAAAAAAACGTCCAAAAGCGATAAAATAATAAAATACATGTTATAGAAAAAATGTTAATAATCGAAATTACCTATTTAATTTTTGTAATTAATAAATTAATTATTAATTTTAGTCAAACATTTACAACCCTAATATTAATCAAAACAGGATCTATTCTATAGATATAATAGAATCGGCGACATGGAAAGAGAAAAAACTTTATGATTGTTGTAATTTTTTTTTTCTGGTAACTGATGTCTTATTATGTAAATTAGAGAAAACAGAGATCTGTTTCATTAAAGCAAGCTTTTAGGAAGTGGATAAAATGAAAACTACATTTTTTATTTAACCGGTATTGCCTTTATTATACCGGCTGCGTCCCAAAAGTGGCTCACCCCCATAATTTTTTTATTTTTTCTAATAAAAAAACAAGATTTGGTATGTTATACCAAATCTTGTATGGTATGTATGACATCAATTAGGATTGATTGACGCATTCAGTTGTTTTTGGTCACTTCCTGTTTCACCGGAAATGACTATAACTTCTGATTTTTAAATGGCACCCTAGGTATATCTCTACTTTATTCGATAGAAAATGACACTCTTAATAGAATGACATATCATATGTCAACTTTTGACATTTTCGCATAAGGTTTAATTGAAATTGTAACACGCGGTTGATAACGACAATTTGACTCGAAATACCAAGTATCAATATATTCATAAAAAAATGCTTTTTCGAAATATGCTAATCAGTCACCCTTGTTCAATTTAAAAAAATTGACATATGATTAAAAATACGATTTGTGCATCTTTTAACCGGCCTAGACAAGACACGAAAAACATTAGACGATCAAAACTATTTTTCCAATGCTCCTTGATTAAAACTTAGTGTTTTTAACACCGCCGTGGCACTAGAGGTGTGTAGTTCGTGAACGAACTAGTTCCAATGAACTATTCCGACCCCGGAATGAAAGGAACTAGTTCCTGGTTTCTCAAAGGACTAGTTCCTCAGGACCTATTCCGGGATCGAGACTGTCCGATATAGAATAATATGCGACGGCGACGGATCGGCTAGCGCGCGTAGCCCGATGGTAGGCAGGAGTGGGGAGTGCCAGACGTACGTTATCGCCTTATCGGTTCCGGACCTAGAGGAACTAAACTAAATAAAAGACTAGTTTACTTACTAACGGATCGGGCCAGCGCGATCGATGCTAGGCAGGAGTGGGGAGTGCCAGCCTTATGCCGTATGTTATCGGATCCGGACCTAAAGGAACTAGAGGAACTAAATAAAAGACTAGTTTACGTATGGATCAACCAGCGCGATTGATGCTAGGCAGGCGTGAGGAGTGCGAGCCGTATGTTATCGGATCCGGACATAGAGGAACATGAAAAGACTAGTTCACGGGAATCTATTCAGTCGGCAGATCCGCGAATTAATACAAGGCGACGACGAAGGATTCGGCCTTGCCGCAGCCGGCGCGGCGTAATTACCACAGAAAATTGTCGTGGATACTGTTTTTGATTTTTAGTTTGTTTTTTAAATATTTTATAGGAATGTTTCACTTTATGTCCCTAAAATTAAGAAATATCTTATAAAATGAAGTAGATATTCTGAATTTTTAGACAAAAACAAAAAGCATGAAGTGAGGAAAAATGCAATTTTTCGTAAAATTTTTGTAATATTTGCTCCAATTGATTTGTGATATAGTTTTTTAAATTCTGATTTGAGTTTTTTTTTTTATTTTTTTTTATCTGCTATAAAACTTACCTATATGTTTTTAACATACACAATTACACGTCTCGTTATATCTCCGTACATTATAAAAATTATACAGATCATACTGTAAATAGTTCTGACTGACAACGAAACGCATTAGCAAGCAAGGGGGATGTCAATGTTAGTCGGGAACTATTGTGAACTAAAGACCTAGTTCAAGGAACTATTCCTCTGGAGGAACTAGAATTCCCACCTCTACGTAGCACCCTGGATTGAAATTTATAACACGATTTGTTTTTAAGCGACAATGTCAAAAGTTGACATATTATATGTCATTCTATTCAGAGTGTCATTTTCTATCGAATAAAGTAGCAATATACCGAGGGTGCCATTTAAAAATCAAAAGTTTTAGTCATTTCCGGTGAAACAGGATATGACTGAAAACAATTGAATGCGTCAGTTAGTCCTAATTTATGTCATATACTAACATACAAATCTGTTTTTTTTTTTCTGAAAAAATAATAGAAAGTCATAGGGGTGACTTTTGAGACGCACCCGCTATATTAAAAAATATTGTTTCATAATGTAACATCATTTTAAAATTCTTGTATGTTATTTTAGATTCTCAAGATAGTTTTAGGATAAACTGGAATATATTTTTAATAAAAACATGATTAATTTTTTAACCGATGCCTAATATAATTTATCTTGTATAATAACAGGGTTATAATTATGATTTTGTTACAAAAACTTTTATATAAATGATTATGTAATAGAAAAAATTCAGATTTTAAATTTTACTAAAATATTATCTAAATAAGCTGTATCCACTGACTCCCAATTGGTAAACTTAGAGTTGCCTACCGGTCGAAAGTCGTTTCGAGACTCAAATGGTCGATTATCAATTCACAGGTCAATCATTTAAGTCAAATTTCTTGCAAATTTGGCACTGGCCAACCATATTTTATAGTTCTTGAATACAAATAGTAAATAAAATAAACATTTAAGGACTACAAATTAAGAAAATGCAATAATTCAGTTAGAGAGAAGTAGCGGCAACAATGCTTTACTACACACGTGCGACGCGTACTACACATATACATATCAAATATATACTGATTATCGCCTATCCCTGCAATGTGTTGGAGTTGAAGCCGAGTTAGAGACAACTAGATAACCGGTTCATGTATATTTCACATAAGTTCATCTGTTAGGCAGACACTAGCGCAACTCCAAAATTCCGAATATCGATTAGCCGTTACTCTGAGGATTAGCCAATTGTCGAAAGGGAACGCAAACGAAAGCCGTACGAAGTTGGACGGAGCCGTACGAATGAACAGCTGGTGCTAGCGTCTAGTCTCTTATTGGTCTGGTGATCCGATCGATAATTCAAAATCCAGTCTTGCGCACTACGCTTGAGCACCGCTAACTGAGCGACTTATGCAAATTCCTTCAGAAGATTTATATACCCATTTCACCGGCTTGGCTTCACAGAATGCAGTTTGGAGTCGATATACTTTAGTTAATATATATATGGTACTACAAGATAATAGAAGAATGAATAGGCGACCTCGCCTCTAATCGGTGTTGCCATATTGTAAAGGATTTATCCTTTTTACATAGTATTCGACTTATAATAAAGTAGTATAAGGACTATTTAATATATCTATGGAATATTAAAACCTACTTTATTAAAATGCAGTATTAATATCTCAAAATATTGATAATAGTAAAGACGTGACAACATAGGCTGGACGAGGAAAGTTTGCTTTGTTTGGTTTGACTGCCCGTGCCCTAAAGGCGTTTCCCATCTATAAAAAAAATTGTTTGGTTTGGCTGCGGTCGAGTGTACCCAGAAGTAAACGTGTACAAAAATGATTGTTTGACCGCGTGTAGATGTAAATAGTGTAGTCCATATTTTATTTTAAGTCTATGGTTGGAATATTTGGGGCTCTTAATTCTCTAATATAATAAGTCTAACTGAAAAATATCAATAATTCTCACATTTGCATTACTTGTCGTTCTGTATAAATTAGTATGTGGTATAATATTGTAAGTTTCTTCCGACGTTTATAAGATCTAAGGTTTCTTCACTTGTCAGCTGCCTAAGTTTCTTAACTTTGAGAATAATGCTTTATTAGATGGAGAGTTAAAAAATGAACTTTTTTGGATTTAAAGTATTTCAAATTTTTAATGGTTTCGCAGATACACGCAGTATTGTTTTATATGGCTTTTTCAATGGTAAAATGCAAGAGAAAAATCATTGGGTGGCTTTGTTAAAAATTTAGTGTGGAAAATGCAATATGAAATATAAAACCGCGAATATCTGCGAAACCGTTAACAATTTTGAAACACTCTACAACACAAAAAATGTTCATTTTTTATTTCTCCGTCTATTGAGAAAATAATATACAGGCTATTCCATTAAAAAAACGAAGATAAATTATTTTATATTATAGAACGTTTGGCGTAGAATTTTGAACATTTTGTATGATTTACGATTACCATATTTATAGTAAAGTAACTTCAGACCATCTAAAGTAAATACCTAATATAGTTTTCATTTCAGGACAGTTCTGGTATTTTTAATATTTTTTTAAGAAAGGCTGAAAAAATATATTTTTTATTTATTTATTAACATTTCTGAAACTATCGAAATACATTTACTCATATCTTAGGATTATGTAAAGTGATCTGAATGGAAGCCAAAAATGCAATAATATACAGGGTGTTCCATTTAAAAAAAATCATCTCGATTCACTAACACTTTTTGAGCCACCCTGTAGAAGCTAAAATATTTTCCTGAAATACATCCTAGTACATACTTTAGGTTTGCACTTCAACAAAATTTTTTAGTCTAGGAGCTACATACAGATGCCTGAGACACTATTGCCGGACTCTCTATAGTATAGAGATACTACTGTATCCTAAAAGCAGTAGTCATACCCTTCCCCGTTCATTTTTGAATTTTAGGTGTTCCAAAACTCTCCGTTGTGGTCATCAATGCGTTGGTTTCTGCGGCGATCTATGTCCAAAATTGTGCAAAATTTGTAATGAGGAGGAATTGACAGAAATATTTCTTGGAAATGAAGATGAACCTGAGGCAATATACGTCATGCTAAGAGATTGTGGTCATATTTTTGAACATACCGATTTAGAAAATTGGTTAAAAACAGATGAAGATCAAATTAAGTATAAAGTTTGCCCTAAGTAAGTATACCGGGTGCGTCTCAAAAGTGGCTCACCCCTATATCTTTTTTATTTTTTCAGATAAAACAACGAGTTCTGGTATGGTAGTATATGACATAAATTAGGATTGATTGACATATTTAACTGTTATTGGTCACTTCCGGTTTCACCGGAAATGACTACAACTTTTGATTTTTAAATAGCACCCTAGGTATTTTTTTACTTTATTCGATAGAAAATGACACTCCGAATAGAATGACGTATCATATGTCAACTTTGACATTTTCGCATATGGTTTATTTGAAATTGTAACATGCCGGTCATAATGACAATTTGACTCGAAAGACCAAGTGTGTGGTATCAAATTATTCGTAAATTTTTTTTCCAAATATGCTAATGAGCCACTCTCGTTCCATTTGAAAAAATTGAGATATGATTAAAAATACGATTTTTGCATGTTTTAACCGGCCAGGACAAGATACTAAAAACACCAGACAAAACTATTTTTCCAAGGCTCCTTGCTTAAAATTTAGTGTTTTTCAACACAGTCATGGCACTCTAGATTAAAATTTAAAATACAATTTGTTTTTGAGCGAATATGTCAAAAGTTGACATATGATATGTCATTCGGTTCAGAGTGTCATTTTGTATCGAATAAAGTAAAAAAATACTGAGGGTGCCATTGAAAAACTAAAAGTTGTAGTCAATTCCGGTGAAACAGGAAGGGACCGAAAACAATTGAATACGTCCAATCAATCCTAATTTATATTATATACCAACATACCAAATCTCGTTTTTTATCTGAAAAAATAAAAAAGTTATAGGGGTGAGCCACTTTTGAGTCGCACCCTGTATAGGATGAGTCAAAACTAAATTTTATATTTTTTCTCCAATATTTTAAAATGGACACCCTATATTTTGTTTTAGAGACCAACCGATATTTAGTTTATTTTTTTTTTGGTTTTTTAAGCGCTTTTTGTCTGATATTACCCACAATTCAAGAGTTATTTTAGTAATTCATTACTGAGAATAATTTATTAATTTAATTTCTTTTATATATGTTTAGATGTAAGACCAGCATTACCACAACACAAAGATACAGCAATTACATAAAAATGACTCTAAAAGATATTGTTGAAGTTAAACTGAAATGTTTGGGCGATGAAACGTCAAATGAAGACCTTAGGTTAACCATTAAAAACCGACTTAATTTGTTAAAATATCAGTATGTTCCACTACGTAGAATAGGTGAATTTATTTATTTTCATTGTTGTGTGTGTTTAAATGTTTATTATACAGGGTGAGTTTCCTAAGATGTTCTCTATCTATCGGAAATTACTCTCGGTATCTCGGAAACTACTGGAGATAGAGAGTCGGTTAAATGGGGAAAGAATTGCAGTTTTGCGGGGTCATAAATATGCGCCTTTTAGATTTTTGAAAAAGTTCATGGCTTACTAGATATTTCGAAAAAAACAAATTTCGGCTATTTTAAAAATTGTCCAATTCCATTATAATCTATTTTAGACAAAAAGTTTTCAGATAAAAGTTGTCGATAATCACATCCTTAATGAGATAGTGTCCTCCGTTTTTTTCTAAAGCCTGTCATTTTTGAGATATGACACAAACATGTTTTTTTTTTAATGGAAACCATAGTTGGCCATGACTGCATAAAAAGCGCCATTTTTTTAAGCTTTTTAGAGATATAAGCTATAATATGTTTTCTTCGAAAAATTACTGAATTATAGCCAATTCTTATCATTTTTAAACAATTTCACTTAGCCATGGAAACAAGTTCAATCGCCGTGGCTCTGAGAAATGTGAAGCTGTCACATCCAAGCTTTGTAAATTAAAATAAACAAAAATTGTAAATATAATTTTTTCAAGTGAAGAAGAGCATGTAGATACTCGCGCATCAATAGAGTGTTGGTTCCAATATGACTTTCATTATAAAATATATTTTATATCGCTGAAAAGCTTAAAAAACGGCGCTTTTTATGAAGTCATGGCCAGCTATGGTTTCCATTTCAAAAAACATATGTTTGTGTCATATCTCAAAAATGACAGGCTTTAGAAAAAAAAACGGAGGACACAATCTCATTAAGGATGTGATTGTCTACAACTTTTATCTGAAAACTTTTTGTCTAAAATAGCTTATGAGGGAATTAGGGACAATATAAAATAGCCAAAATTTGTTTTTTTCGAAATATCTAGCAAGCCATAAACTTTTTCAAAAATCTGAAAGGCGCAATTTATGACCCCACAAAAATGCAATTCTTTTTCCATTCAACCGACTCTCTATCTTCAGTAGTTTCCGAGATACCCATAGAGAACATCGTAGGAAACTCACCCTGTATAAACATTATAATATATTTTATATTAAATATTTTTTTTGTAATTGTTGCAAATATAAAAATATTTCTCCAGAAAAGTCTTCTGGGTATTTCACCACTAGCATTGTAAGAAGATCTACAAAAAATCAGCGGCGTAGCGTGGCGTCAATACAAAGGGATGTAATAAGTAACTGCAATTAACATTTTACCGACATAATAAAAGTTTTTTTTATTAAAATCTTTAATTTTGGAGTTACAAAAATAAAATATACAAAGAATGTTAAAAAATAATCAAACCAATTTAAAAAAAGAACTAAATTTAGGAAAATAAAGCAAAATTGTGAACGTATCTGTTGGATTTTAAATTTTAAAATTAAGATCAATTTTTCTAGTATGCATATTTGCGAAAACTATTACATTTTCTTCAAATGAAGGAGAAGAACGCATACCCTCTAGTAATGAACTTTTAATGTTCATAGTTTTTAATTTTTCTGAATTCTTTCAATAGTTTTAATTTTTCTGAATAGACCATAGAACTGAAGGGTGATTGTAAAATTATTTCTATTTTACAGCCGCACTCATCGCGACGCGAGACGGTATTTTTTATTTTATACCGCGAACGAGATGTATTCACAGGATGTGTTATGTGTTTCAGAAACCGCATCACCAATCGACTAAAAAAGCGAACGGGAGACGTCATCGCGGCCGGAAAATTCGCTGACCTTGGCTCGCGTTCGGCGGCGTTCAAAATGTAACGAGGACAGACGCATCATCGCGCTGTCGAGATATTTTTAGCGTTTAGCGTAGGTCTTAGCGTTATCTATAAAGCTCGTCAAATACACATATTAAATAATTGAAATTGAATTTAATTATTTGAATACATTTACTAAGAATTTTAATTTATTGTAGGAGATCTCAGTGACTTTTAAATAAAAACGTATTAACATAACAGCCGTTACTCGCTGACGAGTATTCGACACACATAAAGAAGATGGTCACGCGAGGCGTTTTCTTTCATAAGCTTTTCTGTGACTGAAAAGCCCGATATGTGACGTTATTTGCCTACCGCACTCCGGACATTCAAAAATCTCATTGCTTTGTTGCCTCTTTACTTTTTGGTTGTCGCTGTTAACTGAGTTTACAACTCTTCTCCATTGAGTTTTATTGTGGGCTGCTTTTTTCCACTCACTCTGCATGTTAAGTCCCTTTAAGTTTTCGTGGGAAATGTCCTTGTACCTTTTCAGTTGTCCACCCGGCCTCCTCTTACCCTCTACAAGTTCACCGTAAAGCAGAAATTTTGGTATGCGGTTTTCTTGCATTCTGTATACGTGACCAGCCCATCTTAAGCGGGATTTTGTAACCATGACTCCAATACTCTCGCAGTTAGCTTTTTCAAGGACCGATACGTTTGAGACATGATGGAACCACCGGATTCTTAAGAGTAATCTAAGGTGTCTCTGTTGCAACTTATTTAATGCGTTCATGTGTCGGCGGTACGGCACCCAGGTTTCACTCCCATATAACATAGTGGGGATTATAATTGCTCGGTACACTGCAAGTTTTGTGTTTGTACTCAAGTCATGATTGTAGAAAACCCTATCTTTTAATTTCCAGAATGCTCTCGAGGCGCTACTAATCCTGTGCTGAATTTCGGAGTCAATATTGGCCTTTTCCGAAATCAAACTGCCAAGGTAATTGAATTCCGCCACATATTCCAATAGTTCTCCGATTTTTATAGCATTGTTGTGATCTTCCGGGGGAGTGCCCATGATTTTAGTTTTGTCGATGTTTAGCTTAAGGCCCAAAGCCTCGTATGCCTAGGTATATGTGTTCAACATTTCTTGTAATTGTTGTACCGTGTTTGCAACTAGAGCGCAGTCGTCAGCGTATTGAAGTTCTGTGATGAATTTTGTACATGTTTTTACCCTGAGTCTTTTTATGTTGAACAGACCGCCGTCGAATGCCCAATCCTCTCTCCTGCAGTTTGCTGTCCACTATAATGGAGAGCGCTGTCATGAATATGTTGAATAGGAGAGGCGCTAAGACACATCCCTGCCTAACTCCTGTATTTGTTAGGAATGGGTCGCTCAGTGACCCATGATGTGACACTCTTGACTTGTTGTTGTTATGGAGGCTTTTACACACTGTAAGAAATTTGTTGGGTACTCCGAACTTTTTCATAATTGCCCACAGCGCATCTCTGTTCACAGAGTGGAAGGCTTTTGTTAGATCGATGAATGCAACATAAAGTTTAGACTGCTGCTCTTTTACTTTTTTCTGTAGTTGACGGATGGAAAATATGGAATCGACGGTGCAGCGGTTGGTACGAAAACCCGTTTGCGATTTTGGAAGGATTTTTTCTATATATGGGTGCAGGCGGTTAGACATTTTTGCAAGAATTTTTCCGCCGATAGCCAATAGTGAAATTCCCCGGTAATTTCCGCAGTCTGATGCACTTCCTTTGTTCTTAAACATATTCACTATATTCGCGTTGCGAAAGTCCTGAGGTACCTCTCCGCTTTCCCATACGACATCGAAGAGAACCTTAAGATGACCAATAAGTTCTTTACTTGCACACTTATAGATTTCCGCGGCAATCGCGTCACAGCCAGCTGATTTGTTGTTTTTAAGCTGTTTTACGGAGGTCTTTATTTCCTGTTCTGTTATTGGGATTCTAATACATCGAGGCTGTTATACTGTTCTTCTCTCTGGTCGATTTGAATTTATCTTGTCCAGTAGAGTGCGGACGTTCCACGCCGCAAACGTGAAACATTGATGTTTTTTGTTTCTCCGATGATACGCTCGAGTAGGCACCCCCTCCCGGAGATCCGATTGAGGGGGTATTTTACCTCCCGACGATAATTTTGTCCCACTCGAATGTTTCATCATTGCTGTGTGTAAGCTGCGTAAAAAGGTTTAACTGTGGCGGTTACGCTGCCGCACAGTTTTTAGCTGCAACTGTTGCACGGGATGGCTATGGCACAGTGAGGATCGCGGCGATAGTTCCCTTGTGCTACGTTCTCGGCCTACTAGGTGTAGTTGTTTACAACTCCTTTTATCCAGAAGATGGTAGGTCTGAGGGTTGTATAAGGTTATACCTCCTATACTCGGACGTCAGAGCCTCGTTTGTGTAAAAAGGGTGCACCGCGTGAAGGTGAGGTTGACTTTTGGGTAAGCTAGGCTATATGTATCGCTTCAATACCCCTTGCACTCCTTAAAAATGTATTACAATATTTTGAAGGGATGCGACACGTCACTCGCATCAATGGAAGCTTCGCCGCTGAATAAGATAGTTATTTTTTGTAAACACACCACTGGGCGTTAATCCAACGGAGGCCAACTTGTCAGCGGTATTTTACTAATAAAACAAATTCGCCTAACGGACAAAAAAATACTTAACGTTTTAGGAGATGTATCTCCTCCCGCCGTCGGAAGCAAAGAACAAAGAAATACATTGAATAAAGAAAATCTATTTAAAATATCCAACCAGGGTCGGACTGGCCATATAGTCAGGGTGGCGATTGCCATCCGGGCCTCAGCCTTCGCGGGCCCCTGTGCCTTAGGAACTTCATATAAAATAGTGCATTATTTAATCTTAAATACACGGAAAAAGTAAATTGTAATACACCCCACAATTGTAGAAAACACAGCTGCATTTTGCGTCTAAAATGATAATAGGCATCACGTTGTAGCGTTGTTATTGTTTTATTTCTATCACAAGATCTCTAAAATAGTTAAATATGCTTGATTTTAGACGAAAATAGCGAACAAGTGTGGTGGTAGTTCTCACAATTTGTGTCAGAGAATATTCAGATGGTACTCGTTGAAATTTAAATAAAAATCAATATTATAAATTGTAGCACTACTAACTATAGTTTTTGACACAATTTGCTATTACTACTTCCTTTGTAGAGTTCT